TAGAGTAGAGAGAGATAGTAATAAAGGGCAAAAATGTCCAAGGGGGGCGGTGACTAGTAATAAGGGGGGCGGTGAATAGTAATGCCCATGATAAATTAGCGTTTTGAATTTAATTGAGAATTTTGACCCATCAAATTTACTATTGAGCTTGTTTGGTAAATAGCTTATTTGATAAACTTTTTAGACCCAAAACTCTAATTTAGAAAAAGCTCATTATAAGAGCTTTTTGAGATAGAGGATTCACAATCTATAATTTTAATTTAGAACTTTTTAATTTGTAGTATTATTTATTTTACAATCTACACTGGTTTATGATGCTAACAAATAATAATATGTCATCCATATGATTAATTTATCTAGAAAAATGTAAAATTCATAACTTCTTAATCAAGTGTTAGTAAATTTTAAAATATATATATATATATATTTATAAATTACCAACTAAAAAATATTAAATGTTTTAATATATTATTACTAAAAGAATACACCCTAAATAATAAAATGTCCTTATTGGTAATTTGCAATGTCAAGCAGCTATAAACTTTCAGCTATTTACCAAACACTTATTTAAAAACCGCTAATGTAATCAGCTAGTCAAATCAACTAATATAATTCGTTATCCGTTATTCGCTATCCGCTGATCGCCAAACAAGGCCAATATATACATCCGAAGAAGTCAAAATTGGGCATTTCCAACATGTGTTCACTAACATTCGAACATTATTCGTGTTCGTTCCTTTATTTTTCGCGCAAAAAATAATGTTCGAATTCGTTAGTTTAATTGTCAGTCAAAATTCAAGTTCGTTCGTACTCAAATAATTTAGGAAACAAACTTTTTAAATATGATTGATTTAACTCATAAAATGTTCGAATCTTTCGAACTAACAAAAATATTTTTATAAGATTTTTTATTAAAAATATCTTGGCAAATCGACAAAAAAAAAATTATAAAATTAATATACGTGAACATTATCGAACTTTCGCGAACGAGCTTTGTTTTGTTCGATTATTAAACGACTCTAATTTGTTATTTGAACTTGGCTCGATTAAAAAAAAAAAAAAAAGAGCTCTTGTTGAACACAATGAGCTCGAACGCATTTTTGTATGCAAGTGTTCGGTCAGCCCTACTTTCGTATAATCTATGACGTGTAAATTTCTTTTTCTTTTTTTTTTGTCGGTAAATAAACTTTATATTATACATCGACCGCCTCGCGACACACAAGAGTAAAGTGAGTAACCACAATTCAATCCCTCACTTGCTAATCAAAATGATGAGCGACAAACCACAGCTCGGTTGCTCAACTCAAAGTAAAGTGGAAAGTTTCTTTCTTTCTGGCAATGAGATGGGGATTCAATTGTCCGTCAAAATTTGGGACCAACTTTATGTTGAAGTCAGAGGTAAACCTTCATTTTACAGTCAATGACTTGAAGCATCTTTCTTTTCATCTTCTCTAATTCAGTCCAACCGCCCTGAAGTCGAGAGACGAGTCCCCAATCCCAATAGGCCCTTTCATCTCAAAGCATTGTGTGCACGTGTGGGTATATTTTTCAAGTATCCAGAAGAACATAATTGTATTAGATTTTTCTTTAATTGAATTCTGCATTCTGCAATTCGAAATCGAACACAAATTTGCAGTCGAATAACAAAGATGATGATTCAAATTCAAAAAATCCATTGCCCAATTATCTACATTTGCTGTTTCATAGAACGAAAAAATCCAGGCTCTTCAGCCTGCCCGTTGGCCCCAATGATCACGCCGGCAAGCGGCAAGCAAGGCCCAGTAAATCCGAAGTGTTCTCGTAATATTTTACAAAAGCCATGCCCCATGGAGATAATATACAACTCACTCGAAACAAATTTTGAAATAAATTTTCAAAAACTCGCCATGCAGTCGAGTGTAAACCACCCAGGTAAAACAACAGAACAAAAAATGCTCAAATTATTGAACACTACTATATACAAACCCCTCATGCTCAACCAATGCAAAAGACTAGTAATTACAAAATAAACACATACAAAAAAAAAAAAGCAA